GCCTGGGCAAGGTATCGAGCACAACCACAACCATCGTTGGTTGATTGGTTGGGTGGGTGGGTAGGTGGGTTGGTTGCGGAGTTGGTTGGTCGGTCGGTCGGTCGGTCGGTCGGTTGGTTGGTTGGTTGGTTGGTTCGTTCGTTCGTTCGTTCGTTTGTTCGCTCGTTCGCTGGGTGCCAGCCCGAATCGAAACCTAGTACTGAAAAGGGTCTACCCAAACCAATGCAAAGAATTTAGAGGGAGGCCATGCCTATTATGTTTGTCTCCATTGGGGAAGTCCCTTCAATAAATGATTGGAAACAAAAGTGAACCACTCATTCTGGGGGTCCCAAAATAGTTCGGAAACACGAGGGCAAAATCGTCCGGTGACGCTCCGGTGACGCTCGAGCAAACATTACTGCAATTTGTTGGAACAGTCCCTCCATTTCCACTTCTGGACATCCAAAGGTGGCGACCGATTCATTGACCCCGCCGATAAATCGATCAACCTTAGACTTGCGGAGATCCGGGTTCGTCCCTGATGGATCCCACCAACTGCGGGTGTGTGTAAAGGGAAGCGATCCAACCCAGTATGCCAAACAACGACTGCTTCACCACGTGGTATGTATCAAAAAGGGCAACTTCCCTTTGAAGTACTTGGGATCCCAAACAACAAACCGGAGCTTCAGAGCCAGCTCGAGTGTCCCTGAGAATGTGTGCGGGTTGCCCTTGCTATGTTCCAGAAGTGTTTGGCCCCTGATTTCAAACCCAAATATGCACGTGTTTGACTTCAACAAACCCAAACTAAATATGCTGCTTCACAAGCGACAATTTCAAAAACAAACAAGGGGAAACTGGTGCCACTGGACAACTGAGTCACAAAACCATCTAAAGAATCAAAGGGCCGGATATCCGTTCTGGAGGCTGTCCCTTTCCCTTCATGTTTGTGGCGCAACTGAGCAGCTGCCAAAACCGATTGACGTCTGGTTCTACTAACATGGTTAAACTGCTGTCTTTTGTGGCCATGCTATCATCCACTGTGAAACTCGCTAGGAACCGAACCACTTGGACAACCCCCTGCCCAAAAAGTGGCGGGTCCAAGCCCAAGAAGGATAGGCTCAAAAACAAACACCCACCCACCCACCCACACACACACACACACACACCCACCCATCTACCCGCCCACCCACCCACCCACCCTCCCTCCCACCCACCCACCCACCCATTCACCCACTGACTAAAGTGATTCTTTTGGGGGGGGTTCGGTCGCTCAACGGAACAGGCCAGTGCAGAAGCCTGCTCCGCGATGGCGCCCCCGGCGGCCGGTTTGAGGCACAGCTTGAGGCCCTTCGCCTCCTGCAGCGGGGGGAGTGGCTTAATATAGACCCGTTGGGTGTTTGTACAGACCCAAATCCCAATGACTTGGTTTGAAGGGAAAGGATCGGAATGTTGGGAGTGGTGACTTGCCAGAAGGGGGTTTGTTTGGGGCTAAGGAAGGTGCCCTTTTGGGTTCCTTTCAAAGAGAAACTAGCAGGGATTTTCGGGGTCGAAGCCCTCAAATTCTCCAATTTTCGGACGACAAGAGTAGGCTTCGGCCATTCGTTCTTCGTTGCGGCTGGGTGCCTGGCGGAGAAGGGACTGTCAAAATGGCAAGCACTTAGATGTTGCAAAGCACTGGGTTTTGGGTGAACATCCAAACTGGAGCGGTCGAATTAGCGCGTCGCATTGCAAAGCTACGCCATTGCCGATTCTCCTTCTCGAGGGTGACGATGGCTTTACCATCTTTCACAGCAAAGGCATCGTCTGCATCCTCGATCCAAGCGCAAAAGGTGAGAACTCTTGATTCACGGCACTGTCAGAAACCACCAAAGCTACTCCCTTTCAGTGGAAAGCCATAGCCCAAGTGACCGTCACTGTGGAGCATTCAGCTGCTGTGAAGTAGACTGTGTCGCCGGTTTTCCCACCTGCGGAATGCGTGTGGCGGAACTGAATGACAGCACAGCACAGCGCAGTACACGTGGCCTGTGAAGGTAATCTGCGTGGCTTTGCCAGCCTCAAGCGCGTGCAGGCATCTGAGTCTCAACATTCCCACTGAAGGAGTCCCTACAGAACTCCCCATCACATCTCTGGCCGAAAGTGGCCTGTGGAAGAAATTCGCCACTCGGGGCTCGCCTAAGAAGCCGCCGCGCCGAGATGCTGAGATGGAGGTGGGGGTGATGCTGATGCCTCTCCCCACGCCCAGCTGAACGCTTGCAGCGGCCAGAATGAGCCACAGCGCTGGGATCCTATGTGCCTCAGATTCCGAATGTTCGTGCCAGACAAAAATGAATGTGGACTCAGATGGGATTGCGAAACCGAATAAAATATGGAACCCCACATGGCCCCCTTCCACAAATGGAAAAAAGCACACAACTCACACAAAACAAGGACGACGAACTCAGCCCGCGGCCATGGAATGAAATTTCTTTCGAGAAGTGGTGTACGCAACCAACAATGAACACGCTGGCTAGCTGCATGCCAGCCTTGAGCCAATCATGGCTGATTGCCAGGCTCAAAGGAGTCATGTGGAAGGCAGGTGTTCCATCATGTTTGCTTTCGCGTCTGCTTCCTGATGCAAAGGGCATCACTCATTGTCTGATCCAGATGTTAATAAACCCGTCCCACTAGGGGGGTGTTCCCTACCCAAACACAAACCTCAACCTGCTTCATCTGCCATCCCTGCGCCTAGAAAACCCTCTGCCTGAAGCTTGCCCAAAGGCGGTGATTGGCCATGGCACGGACGAAGCGCGAAGCGCGAAAGGCAAAGCTCGGGTCCCCAAAGCTTGGAGTCCGAGAACGTGGGCTGTCAAAATAGCCCCAACAACTCTGGGTGTTTTCGCCCCTTCTGGAACCCAAATGGTTTGAGCCTTTATTGGGGACCCTCTGGTGGAGGGGATTCATGTCCACCAACCAGTTCCCTCTTGAGCTGCCTGCCATGTCTGAAAATGAAAGCTTCTTGGGGTCCCATGTTATTCAGGGCCCTTGTTGGTTGGTGTGTTGTGTGTGTGTGTGTTGTGTGTGTGTGTTGTGTGTGTGTTGTGTGTGTGTTGTGTGTGTGTTGTGTGTGTGTGTGTTGTGTGAGTGTGTGTGTTGTGTGTGTGTGTTGTGGGTGTGTGTTGTGTGTGTGTTGTGTGTGTGTGTGTGTTGTGTCTGTGTTGTGTGTGTTGTGTGTGTGTGTTGTGTGTGTGCCGTGTGTGTGTGTGTGTTGTGTGTTGTGTGTGTGTGTGTGTCTTGTTTGTGTGTGTGTGTGTGTTGAGTGTGTTGTGTGTGTGTGTGGTGTGTGTGTCTGTGTTGTGTGTGTGTGTTGTGTTGTGGTGTTGTGTTGTGTTGTGTTGTGTTGTGTTGTGTTGTGTTGTGTTGTGTTGTGTTGTGTTGTGTTGTGTTGTGTTGTGTTGTGTTGTGTTGTGTTGTGTTGTGTTGTGTTGTGTTGTGTTGTGTTGTGTTGTGTTGTGTTGTGTTGTGTTGTGTTGTGTTGTGTTGTGTTGTGTTGTGTGTGTTGTGTTGTGTTGTGTTGTGTTGTGTTGTGTTGTGTTGTGTTGTGTTGTGTTGTGTTGTGTTGTGTTGTGTTGTGTTGTGTTGTGTTGTGTTGTGTTGTGTTCTGTGGTGTTCTGTGGTGTTGTGTTGTGTTGTGTTGTGTTGTGTTGTGTTGTGTTGTGTTGTGTTGTGTTGTGTTGTGTTGTGTTGTGTGTTGTGTTGTGTGTTGTGTTGTGTTGTGTGTTGTATTGTGTGTTGTGTTGTGTGTTGCGTTGTGTGTTGCGATGTGTGTTGTGTTGTGTGTTGTGGTGTGTGTTGTGCTGTGTTGTGTTGTGTGTTGTGTTGTGTTGTGTGTTGTGGTGTGTTGTGTTGTGTTGTGTTGTGTGTTGTTCTGTTGTGTTGTGGTGTGGCGTGTTGTGTTGTGTTGTGTTGTGTTGTGATGCGTTGTGTTGTGTTGTGTTGCGTTGCGTTGCGTTGTGTTGTGTTGTGATGCGTTGTGATGTGTTGTGTTGTGTTGTGTTGTGCTGTGGTGTGCTGTGGTGTGTTGTGGTGTGTTGTGGTGTGTTGCGGTGTGTTGTGGTGTGTTGTGGTGTGTTGTGGTGTCTTGTGTTGTGTTGTGTTGTGTTGTGTTGTGTTATGTTGTGGTGTGGTGTGGTGTGGGGTGTGGGGTGTGGGGTGTGGGGTGTGGGGTGTGGGGTGTGGGGTGTGCGGTGTGGGGTGTGGGGTGTGCGGTGTGGGGTGTGGGGTGTGGGGTGTGGGGTGTGGGGTGTGGGGTGGTGTGGGGTTGTGTGTGTGTGTGTTGTGTGTGTGTGTTGTGTTGTGTTGTGTTTTGTTGTGTTGTGTTGTGTTGTGTTGTGATGCGTTGTGTTGTGTTGTGTTGTGTTGCGTTGTGTTGTGTTGTGTTGTGTTGTGATGTGATGTGTTGTGATGTGTTGTGTTGTGTTGTGTTGTGTTGTGCGTGCGTGTGCGTGAGCGTGTGCGTGTGCGTGTGCGTGTGCGCGTGCGCGTGCGCGTGCGTGTGCGCGTGCGCGTGCGCGTGCGCGTGCGCGTGCGCGTGCGCGTGCGCTGCGCGTGCGCGCGCGCGTGCGTGTGCGCGTGCGTGTGCGTGTGCGTGTGCAGAGGCATCCTTTTGCATGGCGAAAGGGAATCTACACTCCCACCCTTTTCACATGGAAACGGACGTTTGCGGGGTCCTGGTTTAGAACACTTTCCTTTTAAAGGGAACCCCTGTCAGATTCCATTCTAATTGGTGGCAGGGTAAATTGAAACCATCCATTCGGAGATGGTCCCCGATTTTTTGAGACGCCCCCGATCGAGCCACAATGGCATCCGCAACTTTGCGTTTGCATATGCGAAGAACGAGGCATTTCCAACCTGTGGACAATTTGAGGGCCACCAATCATTCCAGAGTCCCTGGCCCCAACCAGATGCAAAAAGGTAGCGACGTCAGTTCATGATTTTAACTGCAATGAACTGCCCTGCTACCCCAACGCAACAATACACCCTGCCTTGACGCCAAGGCCGTCACTTGGCGGCATCTGGCCGCAAAATCACGTGAAAAATGACAAGTGCTTGCAATAATTCTGGCCTCCGACTCTCTGAGACGACGCCACAATCGGCCCCTCAGTCATTGGCTCTCGACGCAACCTGCTCCCCTGAGGCTCCAACTCAATGGAGGTCACCAGCACCATCTGCAACCCAAGCAGGGAGCAAAAGGCGACGTCCTGCAGCGGAACGGACCAAGTTGGACTAAGTCGGAAGCAACGTTCTTGCCCATGCTTTCCATTTGGTAGGAGAAGGTCTTTTCGCAGGGAAACGAGGGAAATCAGGAATTCCATGAAGCCCCAGCGCGCACCTCCATGAGACCTCGGAAGGTGTCCCGCATGTCATCCTCCAGGATGAAAGAGGGCAAATGCACCACGACGCACCCACCCCTGCGCGCTCGTGGGCTCAAAGGCCTTGACGCCCTGTAGTTTTGGAGGACACGGTCCATACCAGAAATACTGCACTTTTGTGGGGGGTCCTTGGCAGATGAAACCAGTGTCAAAAGGACAACCCTTGAGTCATGGTGTGCCTTTTCTTTCCCGGCACCTGGGACCTCTGGCGCCAGACCCTTTGTCATTGTAGGCCTCTTGTTCCATTGGCTGAAACTGGCCCCTGGATTCTTTCAAGGCCATAGCTCTAGGTCGTCGAGAACCCCAAGAGAGAGTCGAAATATGCACGGGACCATCCCATCCCATCTGCCCCGCAGGGCCTAAAGGAGGCGATATAGGGCGCAGCGTTCCTAGCGCAAAGTGGGCTGGTACCAAAGGGACTTGGACACCAAAAAAAAGAAGGTGTTGGATTCACAAAACGGGCACCCTCTGATTTTGTATTATTTTTACAGGCCTATGGCTCGCAAGGGCTGCGGGAAAGTCGATTTGCCACTTTGCCATTTTGCCACTTCGCCAGCCACCCGGTCCGAAACAATGAGATCCAATCGCCCTCGGCCTCACGGCATCGGCGGTTGCACGTTGGACGCGCAAGCAGCAACCCATCAGCCCATCAATCCATCAGCCCGCCATTCCACCCCAGCAACCTGCCTGACGGAAGCGTTCTGACTGGCTCGGTGGCACCAGTCGCAGGGCATCCAATGGGAATGGCAGATCAGCCTGAGACTCACAAGCACAAGCATGAAGAAACAAGATCCACAAATCCGCCGGCCTTCGGGAAAACGAAATGTCCTGCGCGCAGTTTCAACAAAATCTATCCCAAGGCATCGATCCGTGGGCTGAGGTCCTGCTTCCTCCAACTTGCCATCAACCTGCCCAGATGCTCTCAATCCCAAGCTCCCTGTCCAACCATCAAGGGCTTATGTCGTGCACCCTCGAGGATGTACCTACATGCGCAATGCAACCACGCAAACATTGCTTGTCGGCGAATAAAGCTACTACACATGTGTGTATATATATATACATATATGTGTTTTACACACACACAAATATGTGTAAATATATATATGTACACATACATATATATATATATGTTAATGTACATCCATCCTTGCACATGACCCTGGCCATCACACACCCACAGGTTTAGGTACACAGTAGTGAGCAACATGTCACAACAACAGCAGCAACAGGAACAACAGCAGTTGGAAGGAATCCACAGATACAAGATATCACCACCACGGTTCACAGGATAATACAGCACCTTCGAAGAATGGAAGTACAAGATGACAGCATACTTGGGATTACAAGACCCAGCATACAACAGACTGTTGAAACAGTCAGAGCAATCAACAGGACAAGTTACAAACGACCAGAGCAATGGGTACAACTGAGCAACAATCTACACTACCTCTTGGTGAGCACATGCGATGGACCAGCATCTACAATTTGCAGGCAAAACATGCAAGGCAACGGATTTGAAACATGGCGGCTGATACATGCAAGATACTCCATACCACTTGGTACACGAAGCATTGGGTACCTAACAAGGTTACTCAAACCACAACTTGTTGAACAGAAGTTCGAAGAGAGCTTCACAACATGGGAGTTTCAACTCTCCAGGTACGAACAAGACAACAGCACACCACTACCAAACGCAGTCAAGATTGCAATACAGCTCAATGAGACAAAAGGACCACTACAGCAACATCTACAACTTCAAGCAGGAAACATCACAACATATGCACAGATCAGATCAATGGTGATCGAGTACTACAGAGCAACAGCATCATTCACCAGGCTACAAGCAATCACATCAGGCAGCAACAATCAAGGACCGGCACCGATGGACATAGGCGCAACATGGTACAACAAAGGAAAAGGAAAGAAGGGCAAGCACAAGGGCACAGGAAAGTACAACAAAGGCAAAGGCTACGGGAACTACGGGAACAACTACAGCAACAACAACTACAAAGGAGGAAAAGGCAAGTACAATCAACAACCGGTTGGACAAGGAAATCCATTCAAAGGACAACATGGATATGGCAAAGGAAAAGGATACAACAACAAAGGAAAAGGCAAAGTAGACAAGGAACATACAATAGATGTGCTTGACAATTCTTACATCAAATCAGATAAGCGCAACATAACGTTGCTAGGTTTGCTTTGTCGAGGCTGCGAAAGCCTACTTCGGCAACTACTCTTTGAGCTGGAGCAGTTTGTCTCCTACATGTGTAGTGAAAAACGTGACATTCCAGCTGCTTAATTCGGAACTCCTTTTCGAAGTTGAGTTGATATGTTGTCTGATTGTAATTTGCATGGAGCAGAAAATGGGCGTAAGTGCTTTAGGACCGAGCTAGAGCTTAACTTCGACACCTCTTCACACACCCATCATCTGCAAAGACCTCCGTCACAAGAAGGCACCAAAACCTAGGTCCAGGAGGGGCGTGTAGCATATACATATGCATATGTATGTATGTATATATATATCTATATATATATATATATTCGCTATTTATGTGTTTCTACACAGACACCGATCAGTTCTGCGGGACGTGGGTCTTTTTGGCGCCGTTCGTGGTACACATGGCTTACAGCACCCACAGTTGAGATTCGAGGGCCACGCCACTTTGGGTTGCTCCGCCGGGGAGACATCAATGAGCTCCCTGAGCTGGCGGTTCTCCTCCTCCAGCCTGGGGTTCAAACACCGGGTCCGGAGAAAACTGGGTCCAACCCCAGCGGATTGCTTGGTCGCGAAAGTGGCATTTTGAGGGGTTCGCAAGAAGCTTTTTGGGGATTCTCCGCTTAAACCACCGCGTCAAGGGCAACCCAATGGATCTGTTGCAGGAAATGTCGTGAGGAGTGGCTTTTGGTGGCAGAAGATTTGGTGACAGATTCCTGGAAATGTTGAAGCCCGCAGCAACCAGTAAAGATTCATTGCCAAGCACCCTTCTCTGCTACCGCAATCCCAAATCCAAAATACGGGAATCGCGTGGTGAGGACCATGCCATAAAGTTGTAAGGCCATATATCGAGAATCTCTTTCAACGTGGGTGTTGTTTGTGTCGAAGGTGTCACAAAGGCATCAGGAATGGTAGTCCGTCCACCCAGTTTCGGCTTGGGTTGGGACCAGGCTCAACAAACCACACTCGAACAAGTTCAACTAGACGTCACAATCAGGACTGCTTCCAAATCGTCCTTTTGGTTTTCCCTTGCAGCCACCTCAACTTTGGGGATGCCTTCTTTTCGTGGCACAATCTCCCAACGCGCGCCTCGAGATCTGACGCTTCAGGCTCTCCACCATACGCCGCGAGCTTTGGTCCTTTGCCGCCCGGCACGTTATGCGGCGGAGCACCGCGGCGAGACTGATACTGGCCAGGCCTCGCACAGAAAAGAGGTGGTGACAAATGGCACGGGTGACCTCATAACAGCCGCATACCACAGCAACTAGCAAAACATAACGAACCTGACTTCACAACTTCAAGTGGACGCCCGGACTCAGAGGACTGGTCCTCTGCGACGTGCCTAGCTGCTTCGGCAGCTTCTGGGGCCGGAGGCGCGGGGGCACAGCCCGAGGCTGCACAGAAGGTGTTGCGCGCCATGGGCATGGCGGCTGCATTCCTATGGTGCGGGCCCGCCACAAGGGCCATCCCAGATCCGAACAAGGGTTGATAGTACAATACAGAGAAAACATGTGCGCATTGTTGTGGTCCTGTGGGGCCACAATCCCATTGATAGCACCTTAAGGCCAAATCTGTTTTGGGGGATATTAACCTTTGGGCGAGGCCCAAACAACTCCATTAAGTGCATTATTTGCAGTCTACATTGCACTGTTGCGCTACTTGTTTTGCTGCAATAAGACTGTGCTACCGGGCAACACCAAAACTGTGTGAGCTGGGCCCGGCGTTGTGTCTGCCAAAGGTCAGCGAAAAACAACTTGATCAGTGAACACATGTGTTTGGTTTCTTCTTGCGACTCTTTCATGGCCACCTGAACCACAATCAAATCAGCTTCCGCATCCTAATACCATATGCAATACTCCGTGGTGTTTCAAGCGCAGCGACAAAAATGCCATGTTCTTGGCGGACTTTGGCAAAATCTTTATGTGTCACAATGATATCTGAAACGCAAGCCAAGACCAAACCAACACCAATGACAGGATGATTTATAACCAAGTGAAAAACGATTTTTCGAATTTTCCTGCAACAATAACATTGAATCATCATTTTGTGCGAGCAGGGCAGAGCTGGCTCGAAATCGAGACAACCCAACGACTTTCTCGATAGTGAGTAAACCATCAACTTGTAGAGTGTTCCGTGCCAGCGATGGTGTTTTTCTTTAATGGTTAGAAAGACAATAAGTAGTAGGACTGACAAACCGTTTGGACTTAGTTCCTAACAATGCTGTCATGAGACAAGCATTGCGCCTGAACGCAAGCATTTTGATTGCGACATAACAGATGACAAAGAGTTTACAACTGTAGCAATGTTTCACCTTTTAACACAATTGGTGAATCAGAATAACAATCCTTATTACTGTCCTCCTGATAAACAAATACACAAATGGACGTTGGTCCCACATGTTTCTTCCCCAAATACTGTTTTCATTGAGGGGTACTTGCGGTAAGAGTTAAGAAGCTGGGTTAGATCGAGGGTTCGAAAAATAGCCTTCGATGCGACAGTCTCGATTGAAATGTGGGTTCGCGCGGGCAGTGCACTCTCGCTGTGGCACAGCTCTCATTTGTTGTTTTTGCTGGTAGGGGCAACGCAGAAAAGGTTCACGCTATGTTTTTTCAGGAGACCTCGCGCCAAGCGCGTTTTCTCAGCAAGATGCATTTTTGGTGCGCAGTATGTTTTGTCTGATGCCGTGGGTCGCGTGGCAAACGAAGCATTTTCAGAAACAGGGTCTGTGAACTTCGTGGCGAAAGTGAGCCCTATGTGAAGACTCGCGTGTCGAGGCACTCTCGCTGCGGCGCCGCGCGAATGTGTTAGAAACCTGTTCAAAAGCAAGAGAACGGCGCATGACTCTCGCTCTCTCTCTCTTTTTTCTCTCAGACGCTCAGGCTCAGGGATGCAAATAAGTCCAACTCAACCCGGCGTTGGCCCTAAGCGAAGTGAGCCGGCCAATAGCGTTGGCAAGTTCGCATTTTAAGCACTTTTCTTATCGGAGTGTGAGGTCGCCGGCGGCCCCCACCGGCGCCTTGCCACCGGGATTCTGCGTAGGTGTGTGTGTGTGTGTGGCAACTATGGGCACGGTGTTGAACGAGATACGTCGAACTTGTGTAAGCAGCGCCGGGCAAAGCCATGTCCACGCTTAAGCGCGGTCATCGCAAAGGCGGCGGGCTGGAGGCCGTGCTAGCGGTGGCCATGCTGCGGCTCCGCAGTGAAAAAGCCAACAGTCAACGGGCGGTCGCAACCGAAATACTGTAAGTGGTTTCCATCCTCGGCAGTACCCGTGCGGGGCAGCACAACAGAAGCCAACCTTGTCACAAATTTCAATCAGTTGCCAAAGCTCAGCGGATGCGCCTTTGGCACGCTGACAAGCAAGGGTCTTGAGGTGGGATAATAAACCATCAAGTCAGGCGGCACTTGCAACAGAACAATGCAGCTTCGGAAGGACGAAGGTGGATGAGGGGGTGGGGAGTGGGGGGGAACGAAATGGCGAAGCCTTGAAGAATGTCGAGCTCCGGCAGAGACTGAAACAGTAGCACGAGCTGACAAGGCAGATGGTCAGCATCAACAACATCCAGACACACCTCGACAGCATTTCGCGGGTGCAACATCCAGACACACCTCGACAGCATTTCGCGGGTGCGAAGAGATGTGGGCGACTGTTGGGAAACTGACGCAACGTTAGGACGCATCGCAGTGCGCTGTTCTCTCTTTTTGACGAAGAAGATGCTGCTCGTGATGAGCACCAGGAGGAGGAGGAGGAGGAGGAGGAGGAGGAGGAGGAGGATGATGCTGATGATGATGAATCGATATGACAATCAACTCACAATGCATTTTCAGCATCACCAGCAGACATGATGATAATCATGTCCACGCATCTAACATCACGCTTGAAACGTGTGCAATGTTTTGCCCCTTTTATGTTTCCCGAAAGCATGGCGAAGGGTTCTTCCGGTAAAGTCGTTGCGTTCTGCACGGCTCAACTGCATAGGGAAATAAGACAGTGAAATGCATAGAGGAAATGCATACAGGCATGCATAGTTAAAGGTCCCGCGCACTGCTCCTAGCCTCAAACCACAAAGAACCCTGAACCCAAAAGCCGACAGCAAGGCGCACACCTTTTTACCGGATTGCTTGGGAAGGTGGCACTTTCCTAGGGCACTGCGGTGCACCCAGGACAAGGGGCGAGAAGTTCCCCCCCCTTGCGGAAAACAAGGTTGCAAGACAAGCGTGTCCTTGCATGAAAAATGCCAGACGGGGGGCGTGGCAAGCGTGCCCACGCCCGCGTCAACGGACCTGCGGGCCCAGAGACGCCCACAGGGCCAGACCGCGGGTCTGGGCCCTGGTATGAAGCTGAGGGTGCGCTCCCAGTTCATGTCCGGAGGGCTGCCAGCGGGGAGGGCTGCCCGGAAGGCCTAAGCGAGCTTAGGGCTTAGAAGGGTCGGATGGGTGGGATTGAAAACAAAACCAGGACTGCGAGTCCTAACGTGAGTTTGAGGGCTAGGAGCACCAAATGGCGGCGGCGTGGGAGATGCACCCCCGACCTATAAAACACAAGGGAAAAGAAAACCCTTAGCGTTGAGGTCCCGCGCGCTGCTCCTAGCCTCAAACCACAAAGAACCCTGAACCCAAAAGCCGACAGCAGGCGCACACCTTTTTACCGGAGGTGCAGTCCTGCCAGCGGAGGCTACAGAGAGGCTCCAGGCTTCCGCCTCCCTTTTGAGACTCTACTCTCTGTGCTCACTGACGAGCTTCTCCACGTCGGGTCGGGGCGGGGTAGACAGAGGCAGCGGGCCCTGTATTCCCAGTCCACCCGCTGCCTGCACCACGCCTTGTCTGCCTCGAGCCAGCGCAGGGCAAGCTCTGCCCGCTGGGCGCGTGTGCCTACTCCTTGCAGCCGCTAGTTTGCTGGGCGTGGCTTGCAGTCTGCTGGCCAGCGCCTGGAAGTTGTGGATCAAAGAGAAGTAGCCGCTGTGCAGCAGAAGCAGCACGGTGTGCTTTAAAAACCGCGCAGCCCCCATGATGACGTCCTCTAGGGCCTTCCGCTTCGTTCAAGCGTGGCTTTTGGAAAACGTGGGTGGGCGAGGACGTTCCCAGCCTTGCGGCCGCTCTCGGCCGGCCCGCTCTGATGGCCCAGGGGCTCCCAACAAGCGGCCTTTCGAAAATGCGCTGTCTCTCTCTTAGAGGGGGTTTCCAAATGAATTCTATTCTACCTGACAGGCTCCTAGCACTCGTCCAGGAAACGACCTCGTCCTGCGAAGGAATCGAAACCTAAAACGCTGCGTGGAGGCGTGTGGCTGCAAAATAATGACCCCTAGATATGCTTGCAATTTGGCTCCAGGTTGCATTTCAAGCGAGCCAACCTTTGCAGGGCCAAGAAAAAAACAAAAAAAAGAAAACAAGGGGTCCCCAAAACAGGGGTCCCGAAAAGCTTGACCTTGCTTGAAATGCAACCTGGAGCCAAATTGCGGCGCATATCTAGGGGTCATTATTTTGCAGCCACACGCCTCCACGCAGCGTTTTAGGTTTTGAATCCTTCGCAGGACAAGGTTGTTTCCTGGACGGACAAGTGCTAGGAGCCTGTCAGGTAGAATAGAATCCATTTGGGAAACCCCCTCTAAAGAGAGAGCTTGGCCTGCAAAGGAGGTTGTTTGCCAAAGAAGCGTGCTCTGCAAGAAGCGTGCTCTGCAAAGAAGCAGTGTCTGCAAAGAAGCGAAGTTGTGCTCTGCAAAGGAGTTGAGTGCTGCTGCAAAGAAGCGTGCTCTGCTGCAAAGAAGTGCTTTGCAAAGAAGCGCAAGTGTGCTCTGCAAAGAAGTGTGCTCTGCAAAGAAGTGTGCTCTGCAAAGATAAGCGCTCTGCAAAGAAGCGCAAGTGTGCTTTGCAAAGAAGCGCAAGTGTGCTCTGCAAAGAAGAGTGCTCTGCAAAGAAGTGCGCTCTGCAAAGAAGAGTGCTCTGCAAAGAAGCGCAAGTGTGCTTTGCAAAGAAGCGCAAGTGTGCTCTGCAAAGAAGAGTGCTCTGCAAAGAAGTGTGCTCTGCAAAGAAGTGTGCTCTGCAAAGAAGAGTGCTCTGCAAAGAAGCGTGGCTCTGTCTTCACCGCGGCTCTGCAAGGAGAGTGCTCTGCAAAGGAGAGTGCTCTGCAAAGGAGGAGGCTCTGCAAAGGAGAGTGCTCTGCAATGGAGAGTGATCTGCAAAGAAGCGATGCTTCTTGCAATGAGGTGCTCTGCAAGAAGGACGTGCTCTGCAAAGAAGCGCAAGTGTGCTCTGCTAAGGAGAGTGCTCTGCAAAGAAGCCGTGCTCTGCAAAACGAGAGTGCTTGCAAAGAAGCGCAAGTGTTGTCGGCAAGATGTGTTTTCTCTGCAAAGGAGAGTGTCGCTGCAAAGGAGTGTGCTCTGACAAGAGAGAGTGCTCTGCAACGGAAGCTAAGTGTGCTCTGCAAAGGAGAGTGCTCTGCAAAGAAGTGTGCTCTGCAAAGGAGAGTTGTCTGCAAGAA